GACAGCTGAGCTCTGCTTTTCTATGCTTCTAGCTGTCAGAAGTGAACCGATAGTTTTGATGCGTAGTAGTGAGAAGTTGTTGAAGGATATGGAAAAAAGTATGCAACATTTCATTCATCCTAACCACAAATTGTTTACAACATTTTGATCACACTCATTGAACAATGAGTGTGATCAAAATAAATTCAAACCACAAATTGTTTACAACATTTTGATCAAATTCATTAAACAACTTTGATCACATTCATTAAACAACTACTGTTGCTTTTCTACACCATGTTTTTCTGCTTTCTGCTAGTCTCTCAATTAATTTCATTCTATCCTGATTTTAATCATTCATTATTACTTAGTTACAAACTTTAAGCAGAGCTGCATGCCTGTGCATCTTCACTTTTTGTTAGACGCTCACATGCGAGATTTTCATAAGCATTTAAAGCACACTCTCGTCGTGAATTTCTCATGCTCGCAACTCTGCCATAGAGTTCTTAATTTCAACAGTAGAACTGCAACGTTTGACGTCAATGTTTGCAACCAAAATCGGTAGCCCATCATGAATTTTTAAAGTGATCGCAATGAAACTGACGAATGTCATTAGCTAATCCTGTCCCACTGAATTGAAAAATTAGAATAGGAAAGTATCGAGGTATAGAAATAGCAAAACGTGTGAATATTAAGCTGGGAGATCGGAAAATCATCACTATGCTACTCTTATAAGTACTGAATTGATAATGCTTAGCTCCACCAAAAATTAGTGCTTTCCCGTAAGGCTTCATCGCTTGCTGTTGCTTCATTAAGTTTCTTAAGGGATTATCCACCAAGTTTCCAACTTTCAGCTTGGCACTNGAGAATGTACCAAGTGAGTCTTGCACGTTTCAACAATTTCCTCCGATACGTTCCAACTTTGCTTTCATAATATTTTTTTGCAGAGCTTCGCCTTCCTTTTCCACTGTAAAATCTCTCATATCATTGGAAGGGCAATGAGTCAGTGGAATTTTTAAGAGGTTATAATCCGGGATTATCGATACTCGAACGACCATTTTGACCTCCGAATTCAGGCATCGTCAGATCGCTAACGAACTCTTGCAGTAATCCATTCAGGCAATTTTCTTTGGCTGAGTTAAGCTGACTCGTAGTGAAGGATTCATCAAATGAGACTCTCCGTGTTGATGCATTATGTCGATTCAACATGAACGATCAAAACAATCTGCAGTGTGTGATTAATGAATGTACAACTATTGTGATAATGATACATTTCACTAATATTCAAGCCATCAACAATTACAGATCATTAACAAAGTGTTTAGTATTCCACAACAGCTGTTACGCATTGTGTTGTTAACAATGCACGTTCAACTGTTCCAAACTATTTCATTTGTCCAGATTTTATCTTGGATTAACATCTCGTCCGATTTGATTCATCCTGCTTCGATCCAACAACTGATCTCTTTTTCAGTACCAGTGTTTTTAGTATAATATTATTTCTCCTTTCAGCATTGCTATACTAGCTTTCATATTGATTGTCTTAATCCTCGATCATTTTTAGAAAAAAACGCATCTGATTGTTTAGAATGCTCGAAGAAAATGATTTTAAAGCATTAATTTTACGTAGATTTTTAAAAAAATTTTCATCAATCTTTAAATTTTTTTATTGTTTTTGAGAAAGTGTCAGTTAGCAAATATTCAGCGTATCTTTAATCATTGCTCTAAGGAGCAATTTGATTATGATAATTTCCACTGCATTAGATCAGATAAGTGAAGTTTCATGGAATGGCTCCCGTGGTGTTATGCTGATATTGTGGAATAATGATACCTCAAGGCTTAGTGTTGTGAATCTAGCACATAATCTGAAGGAATGTGGTTGGAATTTTTAGTCAAAATTGAATGTGAATCAGATGATTGATTGTTGGTTACGGAAAGAACGGGAAAAAAGTATCTCAAGTTTGTGAACATTCTTCTCTTCGCTGTAGTTTTTATTCAGAATGTTTATTTTGCTGCAATCATAGAATATTGCGTTCTTGAAGGATTATTGAATTATACATTTACATTTGAATGATTAGCATTTTTGTTGATTAATTTTGTTGAACAACGACGAGAACAATGTTAATTGTTTGAAAGAAGACGTTTCAAATATTTTCGATACACAACTCTGTTATACTGTCAAATACCATGATTCAATCAACTTGTTTTAGTTCACAACGAACAAGCACACAAATATTTCACTTTGAAAACTGAATCTAATGAGAACCATTTTGTTCAATAGTTTCACAATGCTTTAACAAAGCTCAGAAAACTTTCAAATTCAAAGATTTTAATCAGCATTGGGCACGAATTTTATTATGCAGAATATAGAAGCACTCAAAGCATGTGCTATCGTTGCACAAGGGCCAATTTCGACTTTTCGAGTTCCCAAAGTTTCCGGTTATCTTTCAGGGAGCATTTAAAAAACATTGCTTTCACAAGTCCGAGTAAACGGTTCGTTTCGAATCAAAGCCTCGCGGCGTTTCCATGATAATGATCTAATGGGAGATTTTTATTATAAAATACTTTCCAACGCTATAACTTAACACATCATTAGCAAGTTTTTAAGTTGCTTTGAATGAACGTGAATCCCTTTGATAAAAAGGCATAATTGCTATTGAAAATTAGCCATCAAGTTGATGAGTATTAAATTCTGTTTGCATACAATGAGTTTGTGAAGACTGTGATGTGTTTTGAATTATTGCCCAAGTGTTAATCTAAAAGATGAAGACGATGGAACGAGTTATGCAGGCGACTGACTGCAAGTTGTTTCAGTTGCGATCAGCCATTCGTTCCGTTAACAATTCAATTTCACTTCTTCTACTTAAACAAATGCCTCTTTTTCAATACAGTTCTTAGCTGTTTCAGGTAGTTTTGCCGAGTAGTTCATTTCAACGCCATTCAAGTTTATGCACTAAAGCAAAATAGTTTAGCAACTGAATGGGAATTTTCAGAAGTGGACAGATGCAAACGCATTCATTAGGTATCATACACTCAGTTTAAACGTAATGAAACGGTACGAAATAATGAATGTCAACAGATAAAATTGCCCACCTTCCTACGAGTCTCATCAAAACGCTTCAAGCANGTCAAAATGAATGTATATTCACAAATTTAACGCTGAATAATCAATGGATTTAATGCTGGCGAAAAAGATTTTGAACTGATCGTTTGGGTGCATCGATATTCATAACACCAACGGGCTTTCTTCTGGCGAAGAAGTGCAACCAACTATCTACTCTTAACTATTTTATGTTCTTTATTTATTGTCTACGAATCAACAATCTTTGAGAATCACTTTCGCAATTAATGGATTTCAATAGCTGTTAATCATTGACTGACTCTTCTCTCGTTCATCAAACAATGCATCGACAGGTTTTAGAATCAAGCGTATCACAAGAATAATGAACGAACGAGCACAACTGTCGCATTGAATGCAATTGTTTTAATAAACAGTTTTTATTTTCACTCCAATGCCGTTCACTGTTGTAATGGTGTTTATGAGGCATAAATTTGTTTTGATATTTTAACACTTCATAGAGAACGAATGCTACTGCAAGCAAACACATTTGTGTGCTACTTGCAACGATGGCTCGAATTTTATTCTGTCAACTTATTACACTATATAGCAAAAAAAACGCAACAACGAGAAGTTCATTTTCTGGAACGGTCCTTCGTACGTAGAATCCGAAAATGAACCCTTCTGCGCACGGTTTCTGCAAATGATCGCAAGAGACCTAAAAGTGATCAGGAAGCATGAATTTCACTGTCCAGAAGAGTTGACTCTTCACTCTTACAAAAACTAAAGAGTATATTGCTCTCAAGAAATCTGACATGCAGAATCTGAATCTCGATCTGGAGTAAGATTCCCTCTTCACGCACCAGTTTTCCATGAAAGGCAAGTAAGCGCTCGAAGTGTCAGCGCACGCAGAAACGTGCTCTACGCGAAAAAATGAAAGCAATGGCCGACGAATACGAGAGAGCTGAGGATGATGAAGAGAGTAGCATAAAAGAGTGGAGCACAAGAAGTGAGAGCTGACGATTTCTTGATCAGATGCAAACATTATTTCCCGGCCGCAAATGTTATCGCAAACCTCAAAAATTTCAAATGAATCCCTCAAAAAATAAACGCTTCCTCGAACAGTGCTACAAGGATGGATGCTTTGGAAAGACGGAATTCATTTCTTACATCAGTTTGCATACAAGCAACAAATTCTTCGACTTGTGAGAGGATGAAAAGTTCACATTTTTAGACAGTGAAATTTGTGCTCTTTGGCCGTTTCCCGGACTTTGACAGTCAGCTGCGAAAAAGCTGTACACAGCGGTGCAAAAAAAAGTTCATTTCCGGGTTCTACGTTCAAAATTTTCCCAGAAAATGACTCTCTCATTTTTACGTAACTGTTTTTTGTCACAAACTGTAATTAACCACTGAGCATTGATCTACATTAATCTTTTCAGGTATATTATATACGAAGAAAATTCTGTTCAAAAAACTGCCGATCTTCCATAGCGCATCATTTACCTTGCATTTGATGATTCTAGAATGAGAAGTCGTTTATTATATATTTTTCCTTCATAAACACGAAGGAAAAAGAGAATTAATTGTTTGAAGCGACATCAAAATTCCATTGATAGCAGATCACATCTTTCACTCTATTCTTGCCATTAAGTTGGAGCTGAATATGGAGCTGAAGTAAGCTTCGCTTCAAGCGCTTGACCGTTGAGTTTTCGAACAAATATAAGTTCTGATCGCTCTGGACAAACGGTGACACAAATGTCTCAACTATTGTATATTCTGTGGATTAGGAGTCTTCGCGCATGATTCACGTGCTCGTTTCATCAAGATTTGATTTTGAGAATGTGTTTCCAGAAATGTGGTAAATATATTCTGATTATGTCATTATTCAATCGAGTTCAACGAGATCATCGGTGAAAGTGACTGAACCCAATTGCTGACTTATATCAACATCCAGTCAAAAGAAATGGCTTTTTTGGCTGGTATGCATGATGGATCGGTTCGGATGAAGAGTCACACTTCGCCCAGGTCAACTGCCACCTCAGCACTGCTTGCCGAAGGCTATACTGAAGACGGACAACTGAGTCCATTCGACAGCATCAGGTATATTTTAACTTATTTCCTAGAGGAAGGCAGTTCCGACGCAACAACTTTTCGCATAAAACTTTTGACTCTTGTAATAATTTTGGTTTAATTGAGTTCCATCGGCAGCACAGTAAATGCTTCCCTTCTGAAAAGTAAAACACTGCAGTTACGAACAACTCACCTATATTGGGTATAAGACGACAGAAATAGGAACTTGTGGTCCTTTCACATCTTAACAGTTGTTCATTTTCTGAATTATGGATGTGATGCAACATATAACCAGTGATGCCTAATCCAAAAAACTTAATCCATCTCTACCCTTCGAAATTACGGCCCCGGCTCTTGCTCCGGGATCTTAATTTTCGAAATTACAGCCCCAGCTCCAGCTCCCCTATCCCAAAATTCCAGCTCTAGATCTAGCCTGGGCTCCGCGCTCCCAAATTATCGGCTCCGGCTTTGGATTTCCAAAATTCTGGCTCCGGCCCCGTGTTTTCAAAATTTTTTGCTCCGGCTCCGCACTCTTGAGAGTTTAACTCTGGCTCCGATTTTCATTTCTTAACTTTCTAATTCACCTGCTATCTGGCACCGAGTTCTTGAAAATTTTGGCTTCAACTGCGGCAATGACCCCGCACTTTTTCAGTCTTCGATCCGAAATTTCCTCTGCTCCACTCTGGAACATCCCGGATCCGAAAAAAATTATCGTATAGGTCTTATTCCCGGCTACTGAACAATGCAGTGATATTTTTAAAGGTTGGGAGACAGGAAATTTTTTTGGCTCCGGAGAATGAGCATCAGTGCATACAACTGAGTGGAATGCAGAGAAGAAGGAATGAATAAACTGTAGTCAAAAGACCAAAAGAAGTAATGAAAAAACTAGCTCAGTGCGTAGATTTTGAGTAGTTTTCGAGGTTTGATACTTTGGTGTTTAGTTAACGCGAAATGTCAGCCACTGAACCGCAAGCGATTTATTTACATGGTTAGCCAAATGTTGAAAACTTCCTGTTGCAGGTTAGAGTCTTTAGGTTTAGCAAGCAAAAAACATGTTCAAAAACATAGATAAATGAAATATGATATTCAAACAACAGTACAAAATCAACCAATGTATGTGTATGCTCCCTGCCATCAAAAATAGAGGCGATGAGTTGTTGAGAATGTAAGCCTAAGCCATCCTTAATACTGCATGCAACTATCACCAATGAGCTGTACTGCTTTATTTGTAATTTCATCATTTTATGCATATATCAGTGTATCTGAGATGGTATACAAACAGCTGTTAATGTAAATCAGTGTTCTAATCGCTTGAACGTCATTACTTTTCATCAATTCAGTTTCACGAAATATTTTTTATTCATACATTTTTTAACAAACTTATCACCAAGCGATGCAAATGTCTCATTTATCAATGAGATTTTCTAACGTGTTCTCCGATGAATTAATTTTTTTTATATCAGCACTTCAATTCAAGTCGTCTTCAGCAAGCAAAACCTGCCACATTGAAATGCTGATTACACATGATATAAACGATAGATCTAGTGCTAAACTGCAATCAGATATTGTCAGCGAAGCGCTAAATGACTCTCAGTTGCTTATCAAAGATTTTATGGATCATATTAAGGCAAAAAAAGTTGATTAAGGAAGGTAGTGATGGTAAGACGATTAGTGGTTCCTTACATTCTCGGCGCTTCAGAAAGAAAACTTGAGGAATAGCTAGAAAGTATTGAATGAAACTGAAATTCCGAAATGATTTCTCAGTGGTTGGAGCAGAGAATCATTCAGTCATTACATGCTATCTAGTGATAAAGCATTGTTTATTGACAGCAGACAATAACGATATCGTTCGGCAATCAATTTGACTGTAATGAGAGTGTGTGAAATTGATTGTATGCACTTATTGCCTTTCAGCGAGTCTGATTTTTATGAGGTGAAATGTAGCCACTTTGAGTACGATTGAGAAAATGAGGGAGAAACAAACCGATCAATGATCAGTGGAGGAAAGAAAGCAATTGCTTATCCGTTTCTTAATGAGCATCAGCTTAGTTGTCAGTGTGATGGGGAAAGGATTGATGCATCGCATCGTCTCATATTTTTAGAGATGAATTGCGCTGAAGTGATGTTGACGTGATAAACAAAGCTCATGTTACAGAACATCATGTAGTATGTACAGCACCAGTATAATATATGCGATCATCAGTTTGCAATGCATTTTAAAGATTATTATATCATATCATATCTTGAGAGCTTTATCATCATCGCAGATGGCCACTTTGTGTTACCGATTTGATTTTCACCAGAAAAAAANAAAAAAAGCGCTTTAACAAAGAATAGTGTGAAAAAGTGACATAAATGATTCAGTTGTGCACTAAGCATTCTCATTCCCTTTGAACTGTTGCTGGATTAGACGAAGTTGCTCTCTTTTGATGTGCTCTGCTATCGCGTGCTATTCTTTTTCAACTTGAGCATTCTCTTCAACTTTTATTCCAACTTGCTGCTATTATTTTCAAATCGTCGCTATGAACATTCAATCGCTTCAGTGCGACTTTGCATATTTCTTGTTACATGGCATAACAAGTTGAATCTTCGTTGAACCCATTTGAATATTGCTTCATTTAATCTTCAAACTACTACCAATCGCCACAATCTCGAAAGATATTACTGCTCTTCATTCGACCATATTCACAATCCGATTTCCACTACAACGATACTGCTCTAGAATGCTATAAAGTTACGACTTCTGTGAGAGCTTGTAAACTTTTTTGCAAACCATGTAATATGGCGCAAAGAATCTAATCGATACGAAATTTTCCGATCTGTTCCACTGATTTTATCGACTGTTGTGCCATCTTGATTATTTTCGTAGATCTATTTACATCTGAAAATGACTGCAATCGCTGCATGTCATAAATCACTCAAGTTGGTTATCATCACATTTATCTAACACCTATCGCAGAAAAATATCTATTTGATAGTTTCCTGCCGATAACAATGGCCACAATTCTTCTTTAAATAATATCTGTTAACGTTAATCTTTTTAACGACATTTAATGCTGATGTTTCAATGGTGTTTAATGCTGATGTTTACCAGTATTTAATGCTGGTGTTTTCACCATGAAGAAAGTCACTAAAACATCGAGTGAATCACTTCAATGAGAACTGAATAAATCCACATTCATTCTCATTTCATTTATTATCTTCCATCACTGCAACATATTTCATTGCATAACTTTCTCAACCATCACTTTTTGATACTCTGATTAGCAATGCCCCTTTCCCAAATAAGTTGCTCCACTTTTAATATATTCTGTTCTATTCTATTAGAATACAACAGAACACCTTCAGAATTTGGGGTGAGGGAATAGAGCACTTCACATGATAGAGTAAGGCAGAACAGAAAGATTTCAGAATGTTGAGTTCGAAGTATGGGAAGAGAACAGAATAGAACAATTTAGAGGGAAAGCGGAACAGAACTACATCAAATTCTGGGATATCGGAATGGAATATGATAAAATAGATTGTAAAAATAGAGTAGAACAGAACACCACAGAATTGATGAATGCGAGAACAGAACGGTTTGTCCAAATACTGGGACAGAGTTATCACTAATCTTAATTTTCCTTCATTGAACAATCTCCGAGTTTTCTTTTTTCGAACGATCCTTACTGTTCGCTCTTTGAATGGCCATGACAACCTATGAAATTCGACTTCATGAATGAAGTATGCTTCCTGATAGATTATTCAAACCGTAAATGAAATCAGAAGATTTCGATCAGCGTAGATTGCATTCTGATGTGAATAAATCTCAAAGAGAAAAACAAGTTTTACGTAAATTATTAGATATTTGCTAAAGTTAATGATCTGTTTCATTATTTTCACAATCAAGCAGTCAATATTTCCAGGCGTCAGTCACAATACTCACTTGCCTCAACATTGGGTGCTCGATTATCGATCGCATCAGGTGCAAATTTAGATGATAATCATGTCATTGATGAGGTAAGATGCTTCTTTATATGATACCGCTAATCACACTAAGTTCAACTAACCGATTCTAAATGACAAAGCATTTCATGTAATTATACTGTAAACTGCATTCTGCTATGCTAAACCGCAATTTTTTTTATTTTTGAAGACAGTAAAAGTAGCTCGTTGTCAACCTGTTCACTAATATATTAATAAATGAATAGAGATATGAAGCTCAGTTTGAGCCCAAAAAGAACCTCATGTCGTGGGTTCATCTTAACAAGTAGTCATTTAATGAGTAATAACTGATGTGAAAATCAGTGGTTGGATGTTTTCACGTCAGTCGCATTAAACATAACAATAGAGCGATTTTCGAATGGTTCCGACTGTTTTGAAACAACCATTCGTTCTTTACGAGATATTCATAAAACTATCGAATATCTAGAGAGATAACTTTGAATCGCTTGTTGATCAGCGCATCTCGAGCATATGCCGTCACTTGTCGTATGAAACAGCAAGTATATGGCTCATTGAAAATATCAATAGCCAATAAAGTGGAGAAGATGAATTCAGTGTTGTAATATGAGTGCTTTAGCATTCTTTAGTTGTTGCACTTTCATGAAATTGATCTTAAGGTATTTTTTCAAAAAAACCCTATGGATTATTCATTCTAAAATGTAACCTATGAACCGAACCTGCTGTCTCATTCCCAAGTGCAATGTACTTGTTCGTCGTGATACCGCTATTCGCAAGTCACTTTCAGATGCTTCATCGCATCGGAAGCCACCGCGGTAGCGTTCGAGTTGATCGCCCGAATATTCCACCTAGAAAACCTGATAGTTGGCTTGGAAAGGTATTTGTGGATGTTTGTTTCTGTAACAACTACTTCATATTGCAACCGCAATACTAATTTACTTCAGCTTTCTTCAAAGCACATCATGTAGATGTAGTTCGATGAACTTTGTAAAATTTCCATCATTTTTATCCTGTCAGTTGCACGATTTTAGTTCTTAAACAATATCTCACCGCCAAGCCCCCCCCCCCCCCCCCCCC